GGTGGCTGCCATCCTGGATGTTGTTATTCGTAAAATGTATTTCCTGTACAGATGTGATCATCGTCAGCTGATAAACCTGACTGGATGACACTGTGACAATTATGCGTAAAATGCTTCCTAAATGAATAGACCCAAGCATAATATCTGTTCATCTACCACTGTGACGCAGATATTTTGTACCGTGCCTGTTCCTTTGGTACCTAGAGTAGGTTTCACAGTATCCATTCATGTGTTCCTACCTATTGGTGTGTAGGTGAATCATTACACACAGAAGTATCCTTGGGTCTGAATGAACTGCGCTTGCATTTACTGATGGTTTTATCTGCCACAGAAATAATATTTAATGACAATACCGGACTGAGAATTTGCTGTTTGTCTGGGGATGTTGCAACTGCAAATACAATGTGTGGCCTTTTGCAAAGCACTATATTCAATGCAAATAATATTTAACGCCCCCACCCTCCAAACTTCATTCTGCCGCCTCTGACCAACTGCAACAGGATACCAGTGGGGGAGAGAAAAAACATCTTGCCCCCAGGGCTATTTATTATTTATACACCCCCGTGCCTAGATAAACTATCCCTTGAAAGAGTAGGACAAAAATAATTCTGCAATGTGGAAACAAACTACCTATTTAAAGTGATTTTACGCCTGAATGGCCTCATTATGAAAACAGTCTGCATGCAATAACTTTTTACCTTTTTGTACATTATCCAATGAACTGCTTTTTGTCACTCTCACCAGTTCTGCGCTTTCATGGAACCACCTTAGTAGAAGGCCACGGTGGTTACCTTAGAAACGTCTTCCTTCCTGGATGTTGACCCACAGTGGTTGAGGCAGCTAAAACCCAGGAGAGGCCTTGTTTAAACAGGAAAGAGCAGACAGTTTAATGGCTAGCTTTGCAGCTCTATTCCTCCACAGTTTACAGTAGTTGGGAGCAATAAAAATAATAATGAATGTTTCTTTCTTTTACAGCAAATGTTGCGTTGCTGTTTTCAGCCATGCACATTTGCAGCAGATGCAGCACTTGCAGCTTCGCAATCTATTGTCAAGCTGCTGCAGCAACAATACAGCTAACTTGCTGCTACAGGAGGAAATATTTCCCATATGTAAACGGGCTTTGTCCTTTGAACCAAATCCACATGCTGAAGCTGATAGGTTCATTAATAAGTGAATAGCACAAGGGAGGCAGTCTGAGAATCCATAAATAATGCCACTTACCACGCTCATATGTTAGCGCTATGAAATGCCTGTGCACAAAGAAAGGGCTAGTGTGTGGGCTTGTATGAGGCAGAGAGACCTGGAGGAACAAAAATCCCCATCAGGACAGACATCTATCAGAAGGCACCCTTCTATCCACAGCCCCAGGTTGCATTCGAATGCAGTTAATAAGCCCTGGTTCCTAATGGGCTGATAGCCACATTACAAATGGATCTTAGTGGCTGAAATTACTTGGCCTTCTTCTTGTTAATGCTAATGGAAACAAAAACGAGGTGGTACTCTTCCCAGCTTTGCCCACAAAATCATTTCCACCCAGGAGAGTGGTCAAAATGAGATGCCAGCAGGGCAGATGGTGCAGATTTTTTCAAATGCGGCTACATGAGCTTTCTGAGCTCCCTTGTACTCCTTGAGTTTGCTGCACCATGAGTGCAGCTTGCTTATTCCCACGGGTGGTGCTATGGTCCTGGGGCTTGATTTTCTCCCACAAATGTTTGAAGGTACCTTCCAAATGCTTTGTACCCGTGGCACTACAGGACACCACCCACTGGAAATTGTATAGTTCTCCCTCTCCTCTCTCACCTGTGGAGTGAAAGAGTTAATAAGGACAAGATGCTAAAATCACGGTAAGCGCTGGAGAAAGTTCACACCTCTCAGAGGTATTGTTCCAGGCTGCTGTCAGATTCGTCTCTGCATCCCTTCCACTTGGTTCACATTTTTGAGGTTTTCTTCACAGCCATAACAGCCAGAGACTTCAGTGTTTTTAATTGAAAGCTGAGATGCTGAAGAATAACATCGTTTCCTCCGAAAGGCGCCAGTGGAAGGCACCGCCTTGTGCCAGCTCCTTGAGTCCCCACTGAAGCATATTGAGGAGATGGGGGGAAGGAAGAGTTTGCACTAGTCTTATGATAAAACTAGCTCATGGGTACATAGCATGCACTCTTATCTGTGTTGGTACCTGTTGTTTTGTCAATAATTTTGTGGGTAAATCTGCTCATTTGCCACAATTCATAATTGAGTTACATAGAAACAAATAGGAACAAAAGGGAGAGTGGCAATTAAAAAAAAAAAAAGGCCATTAGGAATTTCTCTCTTAATGCATTGACGAGTTTAAGATTCACAGCGTGGAATTTTTTTTTTAAGCCACAAGTGAAATGAGACATAGAAACTTAATTTGTAGGACCTCCCAAGCCAAAGGATTACATATACAAATGTAAAACCTAAATGCAGGGAAGAACAGGGCAGCTGACCTAGGCTGGAGAGAGTTATGAGCTACAGGAAGAGACTGGAGGCTCTTAATGCATGCAACTTAAAAACCTTGAAATAGCTGGGGAGATTAATTGGGATGTGTCTAAGTTTTAAATGGTGTAGATAACGTCAGTGAGAGTTATTGCTGTTAGCCCTAAAAGATCATGGCCGAGGTGGAAGAATTGGAAGCTGGCGAAAACAAATGCAGGGGCTACGCATTAGGCAGCCCTTTTCCCATCAAAGGATAAGAGACGTGAAGGGTGACCTGCAGCGCCAGGCACAGTCATGAAGGCAGAGACACTGAGGTCATATCAGAAACAATTTGACTCCTGAGGAAAGCCGAGTACTCGCTACGGGTGAGTTGCGGTGGGCTCAACTGCTTTCATTCCTTTGCAGGCATCGCTCAAGTTCGAGTCGTTTAACATTTCTAATGAAACAAAAACAGACAAGGTTTAATGCTGACATGCAAGAGTCAAGTAGACTCCCGGTGACATGCATAAATTAACAGGCAGACAATTGCTCCAGAGAGCAATGGCAAACGAGTGTGTAGTAGTCGTTCCAAAGCACCACAACCAGAAACTTTGGCTGGTGATTACAGAATATACAGGTTTTTACTGAAACCAATGTAAAAGTGTGATGGCTTTAATCCCAGCTGAGGTAACATCTGTAACTCAGCAGTTTACAGCCTTCAAGTAATAAAACAATCCCAGTTTGTTTTATTGTGCGGCACTTAAGTCATCTTTCACTCAACTAAGAAGATGCCAAGTGAGGGCTTTAAATGATCGTTTTATGTGAGCAAAATTGCTCTTGGCTTGGCTGTATGGTCTTTTGCCCTGGATTTTGTGGGGCATTGTGTTCTTTTGAGAGCAACCGGCTGCTTCCTGGGCAAACATCTCTTTGCTAAATGACCATGTACCGATACAAATGTGTTTGATTAATAATAGAGGAAATGGACATTATTTGTATCAGTTATTGAAGCAGAAACCATAGGAATCTCTAAAGATAGTCACACTTTGCTGGACTGAAAACTTTCACAGATGAGTACCGCAAAGGAACAAATCCCGATGGCCACAATTTTAAAAAGCAGGAGCCTAGCTCCACACTGAAAACTTCATATTTAGGCTTCATATAACCAGCTGATGCTTTAAAGGGCTGACCACCTTAAAACTCCCTTGGAGTTTAGTAGAGGCCACTTGTGAATGTCAAGTTATTACCCAGCATGAATAAGAGTTACTGATTCTAAGAATATAATTGAATCCTTAATCCTTTACTTGCAAAATAGTTGCTTTTGCTTCCTAGAGCTGATGAGTCTCTGTGCGTTCATTCCTTAGGAAGAGAGTCAACGCAATGCCAATGGGCAGCAATGCCATTGTTCTTTGTGGCAGGCAAAGTACTTTGGGTAGATGTACTATCTTTTATTAGACCAGCTGAGTAGTTGGGAAAAAGTTCTTAGCAAGCTTTCGGGGGCAGTCACCCTTGGTCAGGCATAGGGAGTCTCTGCTGCTCTGAGACCCCAAGGAATGAGAGAAGATAAAAGTGTGGTAGGATGTCAGTGAAAATGTAAAAAGGTAGAGCTAAGCAAGACAAAAGGTAAAGCATGTGTTAACCTAAAAAGAAGCTCCACTGTCACGATTAAAATTTAGGCATGTAGCCCTTGACAAAGCACCGCATAACCCCGCTTGAAAACCACTGGTTTAGAACTAACCGATTAGGGAGGGGCATATAAGAAAGTTTGAATGACATGTGCCAAATATTACACAATACAGTGAATCCTGTGGGAACACTTTTACATCTGCCTTTTGCCATGCCTATTCCTGTCTTCTTATTTTTTAGTACTATCTAATATCCATTTCTGCTGTATTGATCAGGTGTCACTGCAAAAACGTGAGGTTTTTTTGTTATGTACATTTCAGTGATACCTTTGAAATTTGTCAGTCAAGTTATCCCAACAGCGGCTCTGGTCTCTGCCTAAGATCTCTAAGTCAAGCCAAGCCAAGAAATCACACAATGAGATGTCGTACTAGAAGTGGCTCGGCCTTCCATAGCCCTGCTGAGAATCTTCAGTATGTCTAGTGAGAATATTTGGCAGCTAGTGTTCAAGCTTCAATTTTGCAATATCCTTTACTAATAGCGCCAATATTTTTAAACCTTTCCCATGGGCACACTCCAAAATGGACATGCTTCAAAATGGAAGCATTAGCAAAAGTTTGGGTTGAGGGCTAACTTTCATCTTCAGCTATTCTAAACATAGCAAAATATATTTCGAACTGGTAAAAGCTTTCAGTTAGAAGAAACATTGAAGTATGGTCACTCTGCATTGGCCTAAGCTTCCAAAAGATGGCTGTTTTTTTAGTTTTGTGGGAAAAAGTGTAGCAATAATGTTGTTTACGGTGAGGAAAAATGAATATTTTTCAGCTATGTGCATGTGATAAATGGTTAAAATATTTTTCTCCTCTGTTTTTTTTTTTAAATTCACCTTGCAACTGAGACTAAACATGGGAAATATCAGTCCCAGGAGAGGGTCTTTTGGGAATGCTGAGTCAGTACAAACAAGGCGGTTGTAACTGAGATTCTTTTGCAATTAATAACAGCACTTGCTCCTCATTTAATGGTATTATACTACTTGTGGTGGGCTTGCCTAACTCTGCCCAGTTCCTCGGGCTTAGAAAATTGCCAAGCAATTGGTGAGGCAAACTGACCAATCAGAGATCAGCAGGAGAGGAGCCTCAGCAGTAGTCCACCCTGCCCCTATGTCGGGGCCAAGTGAGGAGCAGACCTAATTGAAGACTACACTCCACCTCCTCCCCGACTGGCCAGTCTTCAGTCTTGGGGCGGAGCCCCAAAAGTGTATATAAGAAGTTGCATGCACAGCATGTAGAGGGACAGAGAAGAAAGAAGAAGCTGGGGCTGAGGAAGAGCTGGGGAAGAGCTACCCAAGGGGTGCTTCCAGTTGCCCCGAAGAGCCCGAAGACTCCACCATCAGACAGGAGTGGCAGGCGGCCGTGTCCCCAAATCCTCGCTGCGAGAGAGCACGGCGAGCCAGTGCAGGTGTCGCTGCATGGAGGGTCTGAGAAGGACCGGGACCTTGGGAGCCACTCAAGGCAGCTCGGGTCTCCAACCCTAGCACAAGGCCGGCACCAGTGCAGACACCACTGCACACTGAGTCATTGATGGGGTGAGAGCCTTTGGAGTGGGGTGGGGAAGGGAATGGCCTAGGCCCCATTCCCCACTGCTGGGTGTGAGGGGCCATGGGCAGTGCAGTCTCCGCAGCACAGCAGTCCTGTACTGGAGCCCTGGCCCTGGGCACGCATGAGGCTGCCCTGGCCTGCAACCTGCTGAGGAGGCCAAGCCATCCAGGCATGCGAACAAGCCCCACGCCCCACGAGGAGAGCGAGACAGAACACCTGCTGCAGGAGCCGTTTGCCTAGTTGGGCATGAAACACCAGGAACCCTTGCTGGACCCCTACTTACCGGGAAGTGCGAGTTCTCGGGCTAGGGGTTTCCCACCGAGGAGGAACACAGTGGATAGCCCCATCAGAGAGGGTTCATGACAGAGAAGAAGAAACTCCTCTAGAGGAGGCGGGTATTCAGGATTGCCATATATTTTGGGGTGTTTAGTAATTGCTTGCTGCGCCTTACATTTTGCAGTGTTTATTGATTGTTTGCTGTGTTTTATATGTTGGGGTGCTTACCCATCGATTGTTGGGACATACTTAACCTCTGGGGATCTGTGGGCAAGGTTTCCTTCGTGGGTCTTGGGGACTGCTATACTTACCTGTTCTATTATTTGCTGACTTGAATATATTATATGTAAATATTTATTTTTATCACCTATCCAGTTCTTCTATCCTTTTCCCTTTTATTCTGCACCTGAATAAACCACGTACAGTAAAAGCTTTGTTATCTGGCACTCACGGGGAATGGAGGGTGCTGGATAACAAAATATGCTGGATAACTGAGCAGCCCAGACAGGCGCGTTGCCTGTTCGGGCCACCGCCTGTCCTGCCATGTCTGGGGTGTTGCCACCCCTCCTGCCACATCGCTGCCTCTCCCGCCACATTGCCGCCCCTTCCATGGGCCCTGTGGGCCCTGAGGGACAGGGAGGGGTGACCTATGCAGCCTGCTATGCCCCTGGGCCATGGGGGCTTGGCAGCACAGGCTGCTTTCCTCTGGACCGTGGGGGCTCCGCGAAACTGGAGGTGCCACAGTGGGCACTTCCAGTTTCACTTTTCTCTTACACACCCTTACAAGCTGGCATGCCGGTTAACAGAGCATGCTGGCTTGTAAGGTGCTGGTTAACACAGGTTTTGCTGTATATAGTTAAGCTACAGTATCCTCGTCTTCCTTTATAGAGACACTGGAGAAGGGGAAACTGCAAGCAAGCTGCAGTTTCCATCTCCAGCACGTACACCCTGCTGACCATCCCCTTCTATTGGAGAGGGGAGTACACACTCTGGTACACCCAGGTTACATACTAAATCAAGAGGAAAAGGCAAAGGCTGCAGCTGAGGTCAAATCAGTATTTGGGCTTTGTCAAATAATTCCATACGGTTAACTTGATGTTGGGAGCTAGATATGGACTTTCATTCCTTGGACGATCTAAGCCTGTGTCACCAGATAGTTGGCCTTGAAGCAACACACTCTCCGCCCAGGGACAGACATTCAAAAAGCCCGAGGCAGAATCTAAGTTACGTGGTTTTCTGTAAGCGGAGTAGTCTAGATCAGAACGCAACACATATTAGCCTTTTGGTGGGGATGTAGGGACAAATCTTAGACCAGGTTCTGCCATTCTGAAACCAGTCTATGCATGCCAAACTTCTGTTCTGTTCTGGGTATAGACTGGTTTCCGATCACATATACTGGTAAAAGTACAATGTCTGGACCTTGCCTCGGTGCTTCCCTCAAAAACATGGAGTAGCTGTCTTGATGGAGATTTTTACGTTCAGTTGCATAACAAGTGCTGAAAATACCTTCAAGATGGATGTTGTAAAATGGGAAGTAGAAGAGGATGACCAGAAGGAAAAGCTAGTCCAGAATAAATTTAGATGAATGTACTACTTATTATTATGAACAACAACAAAAATTTTCTATTACCACCTAAGATTATATATCAACTCCCTGGGGGTTTTTGGGAAGGAAAACCCCTGGCTGAAAGAGTGTTTAAAAAAAGGAGCAAGAAAGAAATGACTGTTTACTGTATCTGCAAGCAGGGACAGATTGAACAAACACTTAAGCTCTCATCCTGTGCTCATGACACCGGTTTAACATCTATGTGATTGCATTGCCTTCTGTGGAGGTATTCCAGTATTCATTAACTTGAATGCAAAAAGAATCTTGTTTCTCCCTTAATTTGTCGAGTCTCCATGCCATTGCACCAGTCTCCACAGGCATGTCTCCATGAGATGCTGACTGCGCAATGGCCAAATA